TCCTTTTGGAACACTTGATCTTCGGACTTGGAATTGAAGGAAGATGTCTTTACCCAGGGGCACCATCGATCTGTGAAGCTTGGATAGGCTCGGTTGCACTCCGCCAAGGACAGCCACATCCCGCCAGAGACGGAGATGGCATTATCCTGCAGTTGAGAATGAGACCCAACTTCCAACAACAACAAGCTCAACGAAATGAAGGAACCAACCTCTTGCAGGTCGGCACGCAACTTCGCACACGAAGGGAGAGGCGCCTAACACATGGGCTGGTGGCTCACACCCATGGGCCTCCCCCGCGAGCTCCGGAGCCAGCGTGGCGTGCGGTACGCTTGGCAAGAGCGTCGCAAGATCTTCCACATTTGCCTTCCTACGTGGAAGTTCTAGAGCCCCTTTCAAAGGCCAAAGTCCAGCAGGAGCTTGAAACTTTCGGCATTCACTGTAATGTTCTCTTGCTTTCGACTGAACAAATAGCTTTGTGCCTGGCTCCCTCCGCAGCTGCTGAACAGAGTCAGCGACATATTGCGTATCTTCCACAACAAGAGCCCGGGGAAGTACATCTGCACACTATGCCAGTCACCTCTTTGTCAGAAATTGAGCATATGCGCCATTTGTACAGCCTGGGTTACGAAAAAGCAGTCATTTTGCAAGAGATTCAATGTGAATACAACTTCAGTGAGATTCACTTCACAGAAGCTTCTGGCGGAATGCAGCAGAACCCCATCAAGAACAAAGTACTGCCACCATGGCCACCGCATCAACAACAACGTCAATGCGGTCAAATGTTTCATACATTGCAGAACCAGAGTACCTCTGACTGCTCTCTGAGCTGCGGAATCAATGAGAAGGACCTCATGGACTTCTTCAATTCGTCCAAAGGCTCACTATGCACATCTTTTGATGATTTGGACTTGCCAGAAATTTGCACACAACACTTTGCGACGCTGGCCCATCATTCACACTTCGATCGCCTGGTGATTTATGTCGATGGCTCATCCCAAGCACGCTGCCGACACATTGCGCCACAGCTCAACGATGAAATTGGAATACCAGATGCCTGGTGTTTCCTTGTGATGGGCGAAACGTATACGTCAAGCACCACATCAGAACTCTCACTCATTGGCTGGTCTGCCCATCAGGTCAGATGTTGCCCAGACCACGAATGGTATGTTGGTGCAGACAGAATCGGATCGGCCATCGCTGAGCGCGAAGCTCTTCTTTGGGCAATGATGTGGCGAATTGGGCAAAACTCCAACATCCCCACGCTCTTTAGGAGCGATTCAATGCTTGCCCTACAACAAGCAAGAGGAGAAGTTGGTTCACTCTCTTGTGACTTGTCCTTTCAATCACTACGAGGCTGTGCGCAACTCTTAGAATCAGCATTGGCACCCGGAGATTTCCTTTTGGATCATGTCCCTGGACATGCAGGTGACCCTTTCAATGAGTTTTGCGACTGGGGAGCAAAGTTGGAGGGTAGCAAAGGGTTCTATTTTAAGAGACCGAACATTGAGCTTGCCACCTGGCGACCCTTGCTCCCTTTTCTCTGGATGCTCTTTGACACCGCCGCCGGCATGCCCCCCTTTAAGGGGACTGGTTTTGATGTGCGACCACCGGCGCTCCCAGCAATAGCACCACCGGCTAAGAAGGAACCAAGGGCACCAACCCAGAGAACACTTGAGTTCGTGCTCAGCATCGCCACAGGGAATGTTCTCTCACTGGGTCAAGGTCATGCAGGGTTTGCAGGCAAACTGGACTATCTTCGAGCTCAGCTCAGAGATCTCCACTTGAACTTTTTTGGAGTCCAAGAAACGAGGGCGTCTGCTGGTTCGTCTCTAAAAGGAGGCGTGCTCCGACTTTCTTCAGGTGCAGATCAAGGGCAAGGTGGAGTTGAACTCTGGTGCAATCTTGCACAACCCATTGCCACCGGCCAAGGGAAAAGCCTCTATCTTGAGAGGAAGCGCTTCACTGTAGTTTGCAATGATTCGCGCCGCTTACTGGTACGAGTGCTACATGACTCCTTTGAGGCCTGGTTCTTTGTGGGATATGCACCACATAGCGGGTACAGCATGCAAGAACGAGAAACCTGGTGGAAGACCACCCAAGATATCCTGACGAACTTCGTTGAGGATCAGATCCCTCTCTTTGTCTGCATCGATGCCAATGCAGGACCGGGAGAAGCTGATGGCTCACACGTGCTGATGTCAGGCTTTCGCACTTCGTCAGGTACTGCACTGCTGAGAGACTTTCTCAATGACATGCAGCTCTGCGCACCCATTACCAGTAGGGTACATGAAGGAACAACCTGTACCTGGACTTCTCCTGCCCAGGAAGAATTTACAATTGACTATGTGCTCATCCCGACCAGTTGGTTGGAATGCTGCGCCTCATCATGTGTTCTGGCAGAGTTCGATCTTGGGAACAAAGTCATCGACCATGCTGTCCACGCCATTGAGCTCAAGTGGAAGAGAACGTGCTCCACCACATCATCGACAAGCTTATCCAAAGGTGACTTTGATCGCAATCGCATTCGACTGTGTTTGCCAAAGAACTTTATTCCTGCCACAGTGGCACCCTGGAATACAGACGTTGAAAGCCATCTGATAGGCATCAATGATCACCTTCACGGGCAACTTCGACGCCATTGTCCACGCCTAAAAAAAGGGCCACAAAGACCCTACATTGATGCTGAAATATGGCGAAGACGCCAGCTGAAGTTGGATCACAAAGCGCAGCTGAGGAACATCCGCCATTTGCTCCGCAGAGAAACATTAGCCCGGATCTTTGCGGCATGGAAGGGGCCAACCACATGGCAACAAGATCAATCCTTTTGTTTTGGCACCACGCTTCGGATAGGCATTTTGAAACACGGGCTTGGATTCAGAAGACAAGCAGCTGTTCTGAAGGACCAGATCTACCAGAACAAGAATGTCGCCCTGCAAGAGGTTCTCAGCCAATTTCATTCCAACACGGCAGCATCTGAAATTCAGCAGCAGCTGCGACCTTTTATGGGCACCAGCAGCAAACTGAAACAGGGGATGGCTCCGCTACCACTGGTCAAAGATGCTCATGGAAAGCCCTGCACGTCGCACACTGCCTCCTTGCACAGGTGGATCGAATTTTTCAGCGAAATGGAAGGTGGTGAAAGAGTTGATGAGATTACGCAAAGAAAGCTCTGGAGAACCAATCTGAAGAACTTGCGTAGCTTCATTTTGGATATCCACATCACCGAGATGCCCACCTTGGCTGAACTGGAGCAAACGTGCAGACAAGTTGCAGCAGGGAAAGCGTCAGGAATGGACAAAATCCCTTCGGAACTGCTCAGATACTGTCCAAAGGAAGTTGCGCGGCAACTTTACTCCTTGTTGTTGAAGATTGCAGTTCAGGGACAGGAACCTCTAGAGCACAAGGGAGGATACCTGATCCCCATCTGGAAGGGAAAGCTCAGCAAAGATTGCTGCCAAGCTTTTCGTTCTATCCTCATATCGTCCATGGTGGGGAAGACATTGCACAAATCTCTGCGCAACAAGCAGACGAGCCTCTATCAGAGCTACCTTCACCCTCAACAGCTCGGAGGACGCAAAGGCATCTCTGTTGTTCTATGTGGTCATCTGGTGCGAGCATTTCTTCGGGTGTTTGCAGCTCGAAATCAGCCTACAGCAGTCATTTTTATCGACTTGCAGGAAGCCTTCTATAGGGTTGTGCGCCCCCTGGCGATTGCAGGCCCGTGGTCTGATGAGCTTATTGCCACCATGGCCAAACGTTTGCACCTGGACCAGAACATCCTGCACGACCTCTATGCTCACTTAGCAGAGCCAAGTGCAGTGGAACGAGCCCAGATGAACATGACAGCACAGAAGGCTATCCAAGCGCTGCACCAAGACACTTTCTTCGCGCTGCCCGGCCAGGATGACCGTGTTCGAACCACACATGGCTCACGACCAGGTGATTCATACGCTGATGTCGTGTTTGGGTACTTAATGTCCCGTTTTTGCAGCTTCAGTGGAACAAGCCAACATCTTGACCAAGATCCCTGACGATCCGAGCATTGACTTGCACTCCAGGGGGTTTGCTGACTCTGTGCATCCTCCTCAGAAGCAAGTTGCATAGCATTTGGTGTTTGAAGCATGGGCTCCGGAGTTTGAAAAACAGCATTTTGCCTCTATTTGGGAGTTGGACTTCTTAGTTTTTGTGGTGCTCAGTCATCAAATAAGCTCCTGAGGGTTAGATCTTTTGATATGACATCACATCAATCTTTGTGTTCCATTTACATGTCACTGGAACCTTGCATGATATGCTCTTTGGATGTGACATCTCGTATCTATGCGTTACATTTTTTTGTCGGCAAATTCTACGTAAAAGGTACAATGGACTGGTGATTTGTTGGGTTGTTATTGCTGATAGTATGAAAGTTGGTTGGTTAGTCATGGTTGCGCAGGCTGGTTCCGGCAGTGAAGCTACAAGCATTGCAGCCATGCTCATTTAGCAGGCTGCGAACCTTTGAAAAAAAGGAGCTGCACTAGCTTCCTGCATCGAGGTGATGGCGCCAGCAGCCGCGACATGCAACAGATTTAAGAGGTGATTCTGCAGCTGCGTCCAATGCTAATAAACGCTGTAAAGCTTCTACAGGGTGGCAAAGCTTCTGGATCATAGATCAGCTCATCTCAGTGAACACGTTGAAGTGGCTTGAAATAATCAATGTGGCCATTCCCTAGCTGCTTATGTTGTTCAATTAATTTGATAGGATGGATTCACCTATATGTTTTGGAGCTTACCATTTTTATCTGTAAGCCAAAGGCATGAACACAATGTATGCTGTTCACACAAAGCATCCGGTTTACAAGGCTTGCCATTTGGAAGCCTGGCGAGAAAATGAGGAACATATTTCAAGTTGCTGATGCTGCCGTGCAAATAGTTTTCACTCTCAGGAGCAAGAGATTAACAGTGCCAGCAGCCTCTGATGGGCTGTGAGCTATTCTATGGAGATCCCGCCAGTCCACTACCGCTCATTGTTCAGCCGAGTCGGTGCCAAAGTGATCCTTTGTCAGCTTGAACCTGACGCACATCTGCTCTTGCTCCCAAACGCCCCAGAGTTCAACCTCTGTCATCCACGGCCCGCTTTGGCTTATAGAATATTCTCGCACTTGAAAAACCAGCTCTTCAAAGCAAATGACATCTCTGTCACCCACGACATGAATTTCGTAGTTGGCTATCCATCTCAGCAGACTCTCCATGCGCACATCCGATGTGCGATCGCCGAGGGCTACCCAGGGCTTAGTGCCACAAAAGGGGCTTTCCATCTGGTACAAGTACTCGTCGAGATCAGGCACGCCATTAGGCCAGTCCATACCTGGGATTGTAACTTTGAAGATTCTAGACATGAATGAAAACTCCCTGATTTTACACGTCATGACTCCTGAATGAACGAAGACAAGTCACCCATGCGATCCGCATACTTGCTTTGCGCCATTGGTGGTCACGGAAAGCAGAGGCTGTTTTAGCAAAGCTTAGCCCCAAAAACTGCAACAATAGAACACAGGATCGTGACACTGTGCCAAAAGGAGCTTACAGCATCCTGCACAAAGGAGCCAAAAGGCATCCTGCAAAAAGGAGCTTACAGCGTCCTGCACGAAGGAGCCAAAATTAAGGCATCCTGCCCAAAAAGAAGCATAAAATGCTCCTGCACTCGAAAACTCCCACACCGTGAGCTGGAGGGAGGAATTGGCCTCCTTTAATTCCGCAATTTTTTCTCTGCGGACAATCGACTCTCTACGCTGGCAATCTGTCAAAATCCTAAGCACGGTGTTCCCTAATTTTGTTCACAAAATCCCCTCACCGTCTTGGTGGGTTGCAGCCAGCAGCTCTCAAAATTCATTCAGTCATTCAGCCACATTAGTCAGCTGCAGCGCGCTTTGTGGAGGAATGATGCAGCTGCCCTTCAGCCAGACACTTGGCTTGATTCCTGTGAGGCCTTGTTTTGCAAATCGTGTGGACCAGACAATCTGCACCTTGCTCAAGTCCCAGCAGTCGGCAGGGAAAAGCCCAGCGATGATCAAGTAGTTGGCCTTTCCACCTCCTTCAACTGTCATCTTCTCTGCCCGCCATGCAACTCGGTGCTTCACCTCGACGGTGAAGTCGCCAGGCCCATGCTGCCCCTGAGGATGTTCGGTAAGGCTGTGGTACCTGACCATTGCTTGCTCTGGCTTGGATCGTTTCATGGCGTCGATGACTTGGAAGAGACTTTGCGCTTGGTTGTCCATAAAGACAATCTCAGAGCTTCCCTCAAACTTCCACATGATATCCACAGCTGGATCCCACATTTCAGTTGTTTCCTTCGGCTGCCACCATTTTCCCTTCTGCCATGACGTCAAAGACCCAACCACGGGAATAGGAGCGGGAGTAGTGTTCACAAGCATCAAGCGGTTGCTGGGAAACAGCTGGAAAGTCAGGCCTTTCAGCTTGTTGCTGCAACTCGCTTGAATCAGCAGCTTTGTCATGTCGAGCTCGGCCACATGAATGAACTCAAACTTGGTCGCAGCAGCAGGGTTCTCCACGGGGTCCACGGCATTGCTGGTGCGCAAGCGCTTGCTCGGCCGGTCAACATTGTCCTTCACAGGGATGACTGCGTTCATTTCTTCAAGAAGTGCTTCCCAGTCATCCTTGAAGGAGCTGGAGCCCCACTTTGCAGCCAAGCTCTGCGGCAGCTGGAGGTTCAGGCCATCCACGGTTCCCACATTGAGGGCTGGCGCCAAAATTTCAGGCTGTTGATCTGCAGGCAGAGTTTCGGGCAGCGGCTCAAAGTCCTTCACCTTCAAGGTCCGGGACAAAAACAGATCAACGGCCAAGTCGTGCAAATCAGTGCGTGCCCATTCCATTTGCAACTCCGGCGCCAAAGCAATGTAATGCAATGCAGTGGATGCAGCAGGCATTCTGAGCACGGCTCGCGCCACGTCACCTGTCTTTGGGCTGAGATCAACAATTGCCACACAGGCATGGCCAGAAGGTAGAGTTGCAAATGTAGAGGAAATCAACGCCGCAGCTGCAGATTCTCCGATTTGACAATACTTGTCTGCAGGATTCAGACGGTCCTGCAAATCAGAGCTTGGCAAGTCATCTTCAGTCTCCGGCACTCGCATGTCCTTGACTTGCAACATCTGCGCCCTGCTGCTGGTTCTGTTGTTGACATACAGAGCTGATCTCATCCAGATGCTTTGCGTCACATTTTTTGGTCCACTACGCAAAGGAAAGGCCAGCCGCAGTGGATACTCAAGGGGACGTCTGTCTCTGGGATCTGCTCTGTCCTTCCCATGCTTTGAAAACGCAAAAATGAGGCACAGTTACCTGGACATGACTGAGAAAATAACACTTGTCCTCGAAACTCAAGGAGGCTTTCTCATCGGTGTTGATGTCTTTCTCGCTCAAAGATTTGAGCAGCAAGTTCTCGGTCTTGTAAAGAGATCCTTTCGCGCGTTCCCAAATTGGCATCAAAATGATGCCCATGGTGTCTACGGAGTCTGCAGCAAAGAGGTTGGTCATAGCCTGCAGCTGCATTGACATTTGCTCCTCCCGCACAACAGATGGAGCAGCCCAGTTGACAATCAGCAGAACCAGCAGCGGTTGGCTGAGGCGATACTCACGGCTCAGCTGCCCCAAAGTAGCCACCACATCTTCGACTGCAGAGACAAACTTGAACTGAGAGGCTGGTCCAGTGAAAAGCGTCGCCGTGGCTTCCTTGGCACTGATGCGTCGCTTCCGAAGGTGCTCAACCCGAGCATGGTACAAGAGGCTCTCATGACAAGCAAGCTTCGATCTAAAGACCGACACTGCCTGGATGTCGCCTTTGATCTTCTGATGGACAAGCTCCCACTCCATCTTCTCAAACTTGCTGGCCTCGATCTCGGTCTTTGCATGGCCCAGCAGCGCCAGATCTGTGCAGGACTGCTTTTTCTGGTGGAATTCTCGCAGAATCGTCCTCGGCTTTCACAAACAAGTCATTGATGTTATCCGTGAAAAGTGAAAAGCAAGAGATTCTTTTTAGACAAGTTATTATCTTGAAACAGACTGTGAAACTGTGGATCAGCCAAGGAGCACATCCTTCCAGCAAATGTCAGATTTCTTCTCATGCAGCAGGCTTTGGAGATCTAGCGACAGCGTCACATCTCCGTCAAGAAATTTCTCATGCACAGCTGCCAGGTCTTCAGGATCTACAGCATGATGTTGGGCTTCTGTCTTCGCCCATGTCCAGAATGCAGAAAGCTGCGAGTGCTCCTCCAACCTCGATTTTTCCAAACTTCGCCTCGACTTCGGGTTCTTGGCCAGGTGCTGTCTGTTGAGGCTTGCAATCCAAGTTTCAAAGGACTCCGCTGTTACAGCAAGAATTGGGTTCCAAGAACTCCTGCCAGTCCGCGGTGCAAAGTTCGGCAGCAGCTTCTTATTGCAGAAGCTATCTTCTCCCCACCACACGGCACGGGGACCTATCCTGGAAAGCAAATCCACCATCATCTCACATCCCCGCTTGCAATTTGGCTGCAAAAGAGCCAGTGCTGCCACACGGCAGTTGCCAGTCACCTTGCCTCTAGCGCTTGCATTGCTGTTGAACTTCTCCAGGATTGCTGCAGGCCTGTCACTCCCACCTTCCAGAAGACGCAGTTTGTTCACCCAGGTCATCACATCATGAGCCTGGCGGATTGACCCGGAGCAACTCAAGTGCGCATTGGCTATCGCCACAGAAGTCAGGCTGGCATGGGCTTGGAACATGACATGGATCAGCTGGACAGACCGATATATGTGGGGGAAGTGCACCATGACGTCCACGGCCAGGTCCCGGAAGAGCGCCAGCAGTGAAAGCAAAGACACACATCGCGCACAGCCTTTCACATAGCGGCAGCGGAAGTCAACTTGCGAAAGCACACGGTCTTCTGGGCTGCACCATAGAAGCAATGGTTCAGCTTCTGTCAAGAACCCATGCACCAAAATCTCTTCCAGGATGTGTCGACATGTGCAGCGGTACGGAAACCCTTTGGTGCTGCGATCTGGGCTGAAGGAGAGCGTAGACACATGGACGAAACCTTTATCCTTCTTTCCCAAGACAGCAGGCTGAACATAATCAATTGAAGCCATCCAAGGGAACACGGATGACAAAGAAGCACGGAAGTCAGCTTCTGAATGTTTAAATCTCTCAGCCAGCCATTGGGAAGGGCCTCCACATTCATCGCAAAGGACATCGAAAGCTGTCAGCACACGTTGCTGTAGGGTTTCCCTGTCAGTGATCCCCTCGCAGGGCTGCATCACTTCTCCCATGCGACTTGAAGGCGCAAGCTTGACCTCAGAGTCTTCAAAAGAGTCGAAGACGGGGCTCTCAAGTTTCTCCTCCACTGTGCTCATTTCTTCAGCTTTTGCATCCACGAAAGAATCCTCCTGCTCAGGCTTCGGCTCCACCAAGGCAGCCTCCGTGGCTCCTGAAACCGAGGCAGTTGCAATCTGACAGCCTTAAATGGCTTCGCCATGACTTCATGACTGAGTCTCATTTCCCAGAGACAAGCAAATGTTGACTGTCAGCCAAAGCAGCATGTAGAAGCAACTCAATGCTTCTGCAAAACATAAGTAAAGAATCAGAAGAACCACGGTGTGTGTGTGTGATGACAAGGAGCAATGATGCATCCTGCAACTAAGTATAACCAGGTTGTACTTCACTATTTTACGAGTTTGCCGACCTAATGTGCATGCTATGTCTACAATGTGTAGGAGCCAGTTGGGCGTCCTGCAAAGATGTTAGGAGCAAAATGCATCCTGCGAACTGCGCTGCTGCTGAGATTTTCTCTGGAAGACTCGGAGGCAGTCCTTTCGTCATGGAGCTATAGCACTCTCACGTTGCTGCAGTTGCAGAAGCTCCAGCAGCTCCGCCACCTCCGCCATGGGTGTCATCGTCATCGCCACCAGGCGGGCCTTTGAGGCAAAGTGGTCACATCAAAAAAAATAACACACAAGGGTTTCTATTATAGGTGGGAAAAAACTTGATTCAATCAATGTCAAGCAACTGTCACGGGGAGGAGGTTTTGGTCGCACTTCATTCGGGTAGTGCTCTGCAAACCAACGCCTTCGCTTCTCAGGGTTTCCCTTGGTTCCTCGTCTCTTTTTTTCCTTGCGACCTTCATCATTGTCATCATCATCATCAGGGCGTCTGCGGCGGCGGCGGCTGCGAGAGCGTGCCCGGAAGCCAGTGCCTGCAATGATGAAAGTTTTGAGGAATCGGATGTCATCTTTCAGGGACGGGAAAGTAACAACAATTTAATAGCTAAGCTGCTCGCAGCAGAAGGACTGGCTCCTTCGCGGCGTGGATCAGGAGCCACGGTCATCACCGACTTGGGCCAGGCGCCAGGAAGGGAGGACAAGGAAGCAGCTGGAGTGGGGCCAGGAGCATCATCATGTCCGGTCGAGGACAAGGAAGGACCTGGAGTGGCTGGAGAGCTGCTCTTCCTCGCATACCTCGGTGCAACAGGCATGGTCCTAGCCCCTTCAGGTCGATTTTTTGGCCCTGCTACAGGGCTCACTGGACGGCGAGTGGAACGTGGGGGCGGCTCCTCTTCCAGAGGAATCTCCTCCATCTCGTCATCGGCAGCAGGTCGAGCTGTCCCAGCAGGAGGAACTGCGACATCCTCATCAGGCTCCTCCACTATTGGCGTCACAGTCATAGGCCGCACTGGCATTGCCGGAATTGGACCAGGGCGGAACCCTGGGGGGCCCATCATAGAGGGACCCATCATAGTAGCAGCAGCAGCTGGAGGACCCATCAGCTGCATGCCGGGCGGCATCCCCGCGATCATGCGAGGTGGCCTTGCCTGCCATTGCGACATCATGTGCATCTGTGGAGGCAACATCGGCATACCAGGGTGCCATGGAGCAGCCGCAGCAGCAGCCCGCACCTGGCTTTGGTGCTCATCTTCTTGTAGGACCTCTAAAAGGCCTTGGGTCAGATGCAACAGGGCACGACGACCAGCCATGGCTCGAGGAGGCGATGTCACCACAGGAGAAACAGGAGAGTTACAGAAAATATTCTGATGTTGGTTATTTGACGCGGACAGTTTTGAAGTATATGAACTGTATGTACAGGTAATCACTTGACATGCCTACGCAAATCTACTGTGATTCCTGTATTTCTATCACTGCCAACCCCGGTCCTTGAGCTTTCAGCGTGAAGTGGAGGACAGCATTCGGCTTCCTGGGCCCCACGCAAAGTGGTTTAATTCTGTCGGAAAAATCAACGCTGTGGCTGCAATGATTCATGGATCATTGTTTGTCTTCCCTACAGCGAAGGCGTTTCTGCTGCAAAAGAATATATGTTTATTTGAAAGATACATAGACCCAAGGCATTTTGGTTTTTATAGTGAACGCAAAGTTGACAGGAATGTTTTGGGATAAGTACATCTTTTTTCCACATTGCTTGGACACATGCTGGACAATTCTATTGCCAGCGTGTTTGGACTAATATTGTATAATATGTTTTCAGCACACAGAAGTCTATGCAACAACATGTAATTTGGAATATATTCCTAATTTTGCAGGCATGTTGGAGAAACATTGACCAGAACATGCTTGCGACAGGAAACAAGTAACCAATGTGAAACACTTGAGTAACAGCATTGATTCGTTTAAAAAACGCAATCTAGCTTTTTCCATGACAAAGAGGAGGCAATCATATTCTGTGACAATCATATTCTGTGACACTAAAACCACCAAAGACAGAGGCAGCCCCACTGCAGAATAAGTAAATTTGTTTCAATTCCTGAGGGTCATGGGGTCTAGAAAATAGGGTATATATATATATAATATATATGTATATAATTGTTTCTCGAAAATTTACATTCAGTTTTGGGAAACAGTTTCGGCCAAAAAACAACTACAATATATTTTTTTACATCTCATATCTTTATTCAGAAAGTATATTTTCGAATGCTTTTTTTGGCAAATGCAGCAAAGTCACCTACACAAAATGAGTAGTGGACTTTGCAGCAGTTCGGTAGAACTGCTGCGATCCCCTTTCTTCAACAACTTTTTGCAGCGAAGTCACCTTCACAAAATAAGTACCTGACTTGGCAGCAAAAAGTTTTTTCTCTGGGAGATCTCAGCAGTTCGCTAGAACTGCTGCGATGTTGGCCTCTCAATTTGAGTAGTCGACTTTGCAGCATTTACATGTTTAAATTTAAAAAATATAAAATGTTCTTTTGTTTTTTGAACATATATTGCTGCGGTTGACCAATCGACTTGGCCAATTTCTAGGACCCAATTGTAGCAAAGTGATGTTTCAAAGGGGCTGCCTGGCACGCTTTATGTATAAAAAAGCTGGTAGGTCCTCTTGCGTACAAAAAATGAAGGTAGCTGTGGGTCATTGTTTAATTTTTTTTGTGCAATCAGTGAAAAGAAGTGTAGTCTTCGTAGCAAGCGCTGCCGCACAATGATTGGCAATAATGTTTTCTTGTTTGTGGTAAAAAATGTTAGGTATTGGGTTGATCATTCAAGCAAGTTCCAAATAAACGTGCAGATGCCCCGGAGGAAAAAACACTTCATTCCATGACTGTTCCCAATATTGCTAAACTCCTTGTCCCTAAAAACTGACGAGATCTTTTCTATGACGGCTTTTCTTGCATATCAAAAATATAGCACAAAATGTGGACAAGTGTGGGATTTATCCTGTCTTGCATCACTGTAGTTTTGGAATGTTGTCAAATTATCTTGTCAGACACTGCTGAGCCTTGATCTTAATCCCTTTCTCTGACAACACAGAATGCGCGACAATTGTTTATCACCAAAAAGAACTCCAAAATGAAGCTCGGGGAATCAAACATGCAGCCCATCACTCTTTCGCCAGTATTGCAAAATGCGATCTTTGCAGCAACCATGCACCAAGATGTGTTTGATTTTGATTCCGTTTTACTTCAACAAGAAAGCAGAAATGTGGGAGGCTGTGATTTGCATTTGTTCTTTTCCATGCTTCCTTTTCAAACAGAAATATTTACTATTTGGAAGCTTCTTGTTTTTAGAAAGAACAGTTTCCAATAATAGCGTTTGATGCATCATAGTTTGGATTGTAAAGTTTCTGTTGAAGTTGGTCGTGAAAGAGCTGTATTTGCTGCCCCTGACAATGTCCTTATTTTGGAATTAGCAATGAAAACTTCCTGTTCAATCACACAGGGTGTATTTTTTTCAGACCAAAAAATGATCCACTGTTGTTACCACTTTCAAAGAAGGTGCTCGCATCAGATTCCTATAAAACCATCGTGTATTAATTGCAACTGATTGTTTCTTAAAGCGTGAATATTGCAAATAGTCTGTTTCTCTTGTTCACTGCTTAAGTTGCTGCAGCTTTCAGTGTTCTATGAAGCAACCGTGCCTTGTTCGCTGAAATGCCTTTGCCTGGAAAAACTATTGTTTTTCATTCATCGCGGTATGTGGCGATTCCTTTAAACAAAGAACTTTGAAAAAGTCACGGTGACTTGTTTGGATATGTTTCCCAAGACTTGTTCACTTGTTATGATATATTGTACAATCATGTCAACTCCAAAACACATTGTTTGTCAGGATTGTGTACCCCAAACGGTAAGGCGCAAGGTGCTGCCTGCAAAAAAAGGAGCTAACAGCATCCTGCAGGACAAACACGGTAGGAGCTACACAGCATAGACTGGAGCGTCCTGCAGTAAAAGGAGCAATCAGTATGCATCCTGCAAAGGCGGCGACTATGTTTTTCCCCCCTAATGCATGGTTCTGAATGTTTGGATCGAATTTCCATCGACCGTTGTCAATGGTGCAGGTGCATCTACTCTTAGTTGATGAATTCCACGCTCACCTCAGCACGGATTGCTGCAAGCATGGTTTCCACCATCAATGGCGGATAAGTTTCGCATAAAGAAGACAGCTGCACTCCATTCTCCGATCCTTCGATGCGCCTGTGGGGCACTGTGCATTGGCAGAAGGCACCATCAAATGCTTGACCCAGCTGAGGCACATTGTGAACCAATCGGGTTCGCTTGCGAATGGGTTGCTGGCTACCCGGGCTGCGGAGCCCAAAGCGACATTGGTCAAAGCGTGTCACAATGACACCCGGTTGCTGGCTCAAATGAAGTAGAGGCCCAGTCTTCCAGCTGGATGCACCATCTGGGTGTTCAAAGACAAAGTGCCGACGACACCGCAGCTGATGCAGGCCAATTTCACACGCAAAACTCAGCAAACGATCTGCTTCTTCTCGAAGCTTCTGGTACTTGGCTTCACCCATGGCCTTGCGACCCCACATGTTCACCAGCGCTGAATATAATGTGCAAGGGGGAGATAGCACAAAGACCTTGGGTGCATACAAATTGATGTGGTTCCACACTGTTGCGCGGCCATTGACGCCAGCTAGATCCATCTCCTCGTCGTCTTTCCAATCAAACGACTCGCCCGCAATCAAGTTGAAAAACTGGCACCTTGGAACCAGGCGTGGGCGACTGAAGAGCTCTGACACATCCACTGTGTCATCGGAGACAATTTCCATGATGGCATCCACGCGCCGCGTTGACAGGTTGTCACTCATTGTGACGACAGTCTAGCAGGGGCACTTTTCGCCCCCAAAGTATCTTCTGCTTTGCAAGCTCTTGAACCACAGCTTCAGAAACAAAGAATTCATCACTCAGCACCTTGGATCTTGCAAGAAAGCGCCGGAGAAACCGAGGCACACAGAATCAAGCTTACTTCGAAAATTCCCAACCTTTACCAGGCGACAAATGAGCAGCCCGGCAATGATTTTTGGCCGTCATAGCTTTGTCATATATCTTTTGCTGAGCAAAATACGTTCCGTCCATGCAGTTGATGGACCTCCCCTGTCTGCCTTTCTCAGCCGTGTCGACAGACCCGAAGCAACAAGACTGCGTGAAATTCAAGAATACTTTGACCGCTTGCTGATGCAGCGTAACATGTTACTTCAGCAAGCATGCAGCATGACTTTGTACTTAACTGTTTTTCACCGACAATTTCACTCAGAATTGTCTTTCCCCTAGTCGTGATCAAAAGCTCACAGCAACGGTCCAGCAGCGACATGCATCTGGCTTCAGAATTGTGGGCAACTGTTCTACACCCAACTGTTTCTGCAACACTTGTTCTCCCGAAGCAGAAATCATGATGTCCAGACCTACACTGCGGGCTTCAAAATCCAGACGCCTTTCTTGTCACTTTCGACCAAGCCTGCCTTGGGCCTGCAAGTCGTGCAGCCAACCTCGTCATGCTTGCACTTGCCGCAGCCAACTTTGACACCAGGAGGAATGCTAATGCGTCTCTTCTTAGCGCTAGGCTCAGCAGGCGCCGGGGGCGCAGCTTCAGCAGCAGGCAAAACACCGTCTAATGCTGCAGGTGCAGGTGCACCAGCAGGAGCAGCAGCAGCGGCTCTCCCTCGCCCCTTTCCTCGTCCTCGTCCCCGTCCTGGTTCTGCTTTCGGAGCTGTCTTGGCAGCTGCCCTGGGGGCTCTCTTATAACAGCTGCCTTTGGAGCTGCAGCAGAGCAATCGGTGCCAGGAGCAGGTCGAGGTGCAGCTTCAGCATGCTGTCCTGGAGGACATCCTTTCTCAATTGCAGCTGATCCAAGAGGAGCGCCTTGCACTGAAGAACCAGCAGGCGCCGAAGACGTGCGTTTGGTCTCTGGCACCACAGCAATCTCCAAAGGCCCAGTGAAGGCAAAGCCCAAATCCAACTGAGGTCCTAAATCATCTTCACGGACAGAATGTCCACGACGGCCGCCGAAGACCCAATGAATCACGGGCAAGATCCAAGAATCGGCTCGGCCATGGCGGTTGTTGATGACCTAAGCAGTGAACCAAATAATTAGCAAAAAAAAGACTTGAAAAATGACAAAGAAGAATGGATTTCAATTGTCAAGTAGTGGCCTCCCGATTGAACTTAAAGGAGTGTCGCAGGGCCCCATCAGGCACATTAATCCCATTTGTCCTGATGTCATCGGCTGCCCTCCTAGCCGGTTGGCCTCAAGGCTGCCAGCAAGACGCTTCAATCTAGAAGCTCGCTGCTGGTGCGACTCACTCCCCTAAAGCCCCACACCCGGGCAACGGTTTGAACCCAGCAGTTTAAGGAGGGTTCCGGAAAGGCAAAAAAAAACAACAAGTCAAGTGGCTAGCTCCATCAGGTAGTTGTGAGCTTGCATGTAATCCCACTGCTTCATGAGCTCGGCAGTTTTCTGGAACTCCTTGCTCTGGCGTTCGGAGAATTTGTGCCTAGGAATCGGAATGTCACAAGGCCGCGGGCTGAGCTTGCAGAGCCATGCCCAGGGAAGGAAAAGGATGGGTGCCTGCGAAAGGTTCTTTGAAGCCATGCACAGTTTGGACAGCAAGATGACGTCTCTGCTGTTTTGTTCCACACCTTTCAAGACATCTGGAACCTGAATGGCAGCTTGAAAGTTTGGTGGAAGACTTTCACGTCGCACGAGCTTGTAGGAATGGCAAGCCTCCAGGTTTTTCTTGGTAGCTTCTTTGGTCTGATTCAGGCCAGTGATGCGGGCACCAACCGCCATCAACCACGTTTGGAAATCCATAACAGCATGGGCCCTCTCAACATGGTAGTCCATGAGGTTTTGGTGGATCCTCTCCTTGAACTCGTCGGGATCTTGCAGCACCTTGGCCTTGCTGAGGACTGTGGCCACATGGCTGAAGGAAGCATCTTGCCGGTTATGGGTATGGCCCACACGGCCTTGGCACAAGACCGCCGAAGTCACATTGCCTCGGCCCACCATCACCCCGAGAAACTTCAGAAAACAGTTGTTCTTGGTCTCAGCAGTGGCATTGTCGGAGACACACCGAAAGTGCATTGGCAAATCCACACCACGGTCAACCAATCGCTCTGCGACCACCTGCCAAAAAAGCCACAACGATTTGATTTAAACCAGTCAATTTAACAATCCGGGAAAAAAAAACTTAAATCCCAGAAGACCTCGCCTCAAGCGCTCGTGCTGTCACACAGCACTGTAAATTAGCGCTTTTTCCGATGTCCTGGTCAACCAAAAACAAAAACTTTCCTCCTGGCACTCCGTCAAATATCAAACCGTGGGCTGCCAGCTGGGGACGCCACGCTTGTGACAAAGCCTTCGCCTGGACGATTTGTCTCGGAACTCGAAACTTCGCCTGGTCCATGGCGTCTTGTGTCCAGTTCAGCACTGCATTCTGCCGGGTCACCAAAGGACACCCGGTCGAAGTAGTGCCCACACTGTCTCTGCCAAGCTGTTCTGATTGGGCATCACAGGAACGGTCTTTCATAACTGAGTGCACGTGGTTTGACTGCGCAGCTTGAATTTGTTTCAACTGCACTTCGCACTGAGCCTTCTTGCGCAAGGCCTTGAGCCGTTCACACGTCTGACACTTGTTGTGGTCACTGGCATCAGCAATGCGCAAGAAGTTTTTGAACTCCGACTTCAGGTACTGCCGCCGGAAAGAAGTCTTGTGCACCGGGCTGTCGGACCAGTTGCAGTACATCTCATAGAACTCCTGCCAAGACATGTGTGGAAGGTAGCGCCGGGAATCTAACTTGCCAGAAGTCTCCGGACCGACCACAGGCTCAGCCAGCTCTGCTTCGTGGCAATCATCCAACCTCAAAGTTCTTTGGCTATCATCATCCTGCGGCATGTCACACTCCACCTCCAGAGGCAAGGCACCAGGTTCAGATAGTTCCATGGTGGACCCATCTTCTGTCGGCACGTGCATTGCCCAATGGCTATAGGCGTGGAACAAAAACTTGTTCACATCTTGCTGTCCGGTAGACAACTGGGAGGCGCGATGATGACAGTTCAAACCCTTCTTCCGACCATCAGGAGGCGGTCCATCAGCATTCACAGCAGCCGCCAGCTCTTTCAACGTGCCGGACCCAATCAAATGCGCCTTTTGCCATGTTTTCCTGCAAACTGGAGTTCCTTGGATCATGTATTGCCCGGCTGGCACCTTCTGCGAAACCCTCATCTCACGTAAGAGAAGCCATTGACGCTGGCGGCGTTGCTGAGCATCACACTGAGACATCCCTTCACGCAAAACTTTGCAGGCAGTTTCCAAAGAGCTCTGAGGGGGCACGCATGGTCCATCCTTGCAACTGCATCCCCAGCGAACAGCGCACAAAGGATCTGAATCAGAAAGAACAGGCCCATCATCAGAGGGCAAGCTGCAATCAGACTCCGACGTCGGCAACTCTGGAAAAGGCTCCATAGCGTTGGAACGCGACAGAGCCATCTTCAAAATCAGCACCCCAGCTTGAAGTGACGTGGCCCCGGCGCTTCGCGTATGGGCCCAAAGCAACCAAATTCAGTAGTGCGTTTAAGGGAAGATTTAAAACACCAACCTTGAGTAAAGGAGCAAGAATGCTTCCTGCATACTATTTACGAAAGGTGCTTGGAGCTACCTGCCCTGACAGAGGAGCACATTGCATCCTGCAAAAAAAGGGATGTGACCATGCAACTATGTGAAGCATCGCCTATCCCCAAAATTTCAACGCTTATCTTTACCCAAAAAAGATAGCACCACCTGCACCATATTGCGCAACCCTGTTTTTTCTTGGATTGCGTTGCGCCTGGCCAGTGTCTCACGCCCATTCCTAAGACTGGCAATGGCTCAGCCAGAATGCTAGCGAAAGTCCAGGGGGACTTGCAATGGTCAGAGGACTTCATGATTTGATCTAACCAGCAAGCCACACACATAGACATATTCTTATTCAACAATTTTGTCGATTAAACACGATATATGGATTTATTCACCCTGCCAACAACGTTGATGTTTCGGAGATCAAATCATTGAATTCCTGCGCAGGCACTGCGTCTTGAATGGTCGATGTTGTGGAGCAAAAATAAGTTGAACCAATTTCTTTTATTCCTAGATAGCCAAGGGAAAAACATTTTATCCAATGCACTAGCGTGAAGCCACACGAAACAAGTTCAACACAGACGTGGCATCAGCCACAGCTACGACTGGCAAGTTGTCCTGATGGCGGACCAACAAGAATTTTGCAACCCAATGATTAACATTTCGGAAAAAAGCTGGCGAGCAAGCAGCCCCTGACAGCATCACTGATTTACCAGAAAAAAAAGGGAAATGCGACGAACGACCATGTCACGAGGTCTGGACTCCAAGCCGGAAGTTCCACACCTGAATTGAAGCTTTGGAACATCCTCCGGCCAGGCCAGTCACCAAACATATATTTAGCAACGAGTAAATTGTGGAATTATATTTCTTTGAGGAAACAGGTCATGGTAGTTTGTATTCTTTATCCAGAAGCCCTTGTTTTCATTTTCATCAGTGATGCACAGACTTGATAGTTGTTTCTCCGCATGTCAGATGTCCAGACAGCCAGACTCGAAAAAATGCACAGACCATAGCCCCATGAAAAAAGGCTCAATCAGCAACTGCATTTCAAAATGATAGGAGCCATCAGGCATCCCGCCAAAAAACCCGCAAAAAAAAGGAGCCGCAGGCTCCTTAGGAGCTGAGAGCATCCTGCAAAAAGGAGCTCAAAGCGTCCTGTAATTTAAGCTACCGAGTGGTTTAAACTGAGCCTAGTACAATGGCAGCGATTGCTTCCTTCCTGGTAGATCTTTTGAATAATGTTTTTGATTTTTTTTCATAGTTTTTGAATAATGTTTTGATTTTTTTTCATAGTTAGTACCACTAGACTTGTCAGCTTAGCTGACAAGCCAACTATATAATGAGCTCATACCGCTTTGAAATCACTGTCTGCAGACAAAGCAATGCTTGGTACCCAAGCCTTCAATCATTCCTACCCAGCCTGTGCAACCATCAGTGCTGTGTCAGTGAGCTATGTGATGATCAATTTCTTGCACAATCCCAACAGAAATATTGCTTAGCCGGCATGAAAGGATACTTCAAGCCATCTCACACATAATATGAGAACCTAGCTTCTAGGATAACAAATGATGTGCCAGAGAAGAATATACATTAAACATATTAAACGAAATACGCAAAAAGACTGTTTCTGAGCACCCGTAGAGACGCTTCAAACACCAATTGCTGCGCAACTTGCTTTCAGACTCTCCTAGGACCTTGCTGGATGGATGACTTAGCCATTCCACTGACTGCGAAAACCAATGAAGAGCTTCATCAGAATCTATGCTTTGCTACGAGCAGTATTCTGGACACGTTGAGGGCGCATGCAATGACTCCGAACCTGGGCAAGGGCAAAACGGAAATCCTCTTCAAACCTCGAGGAGCCAAAACACAAGCATTTCGCAAACAACTCTTCGGACCTCAAGCCCCAGGCTGTATCACAGCCCTTGGAGAATATGACCTCTACAAGGTGAACTTGGTTAACTCCTATCTTCACTTGGGAGGCTTGACACACTACACAGGAGATCTCCGTCGAGAAATCAGACGCAGAATAGCCATTGCTCATCAGAGCTTCAACAAACATCGGAAGCTCATCTACCAGAATGAGCATCTATCGATGCGCAGGAGATCGGAGATTTTCTCCAGCCTCATCCTGAGCCGCCTTCTGTATGGAGCAGAGACATGGTACATTCAGGACATGAAGACCAAGGAGTACCTCCACACTGCGATCATCAAGCTCTTCAAGAGGCTTTTACGCTGTTCTGTGGAAGACCACATCTCTGATGAGGAGGTCCTGCACAGGGTGACCATGCCAGCGCCAGCGGTTCTCTTGCGCATCAAGCGACTTAGCTATTTGAGCTCGCTCTTGAACAGTGGCACATCAGCCCACTGGGGCCTGCTCAACCAGGACCACGCCTGGCTTGATTTGGTACGTGATGACCTACAATGGATGGGCGACCAATTAGCCAACTCTTGTGGTCTGGGCAATCCCTTCGAGCACACAGAGCGTTGGCTGGAAATCATGCAATTCCACAAGGGATACTGGAAAAGACTGATCAGGAGAGCGAGAGAACACTCCATCCTTCTCAATTCGAGGTACTATACCTGTGTTGCTGCACATCTGCGGATTCGCAAAAGATTGCAGGATCAACATTTTTGGGGAGCACCTCACGAACATCAAAGTTCCAACTCTTTCCCGACAATGCCGTTTGGTTGCATGCTTTGTGGAATTAGCTGCAAGACTTTTGCAGGGGAGGGAGCCCACATGAACAGAACTCATGGGCAAATCCATCCAGTCCGAACATTGATCGATGGGACTCAATGTGGAGCATGCCTGAAGGAATACTTCACCCATGGCAAGCTGAAGAGTCACTTGATACGTTCGGAATCATGCAGACAACAGCTCATTGGACGGAAGATGCAAGTTCAACCTGCACCTGGACATGGATCGACGAGGGACGCTGAGTTGCATCTATCTTGGGATGGTCGTCTTCCTCCTCTTCAAGCGGGGGGACCGATACCACTTGCAGTTTGTCCCCGTGATTTTGAACAGGACAATATGGAGCTTTTTGAAGCCATTTCACTTCTGATTGTTGAGTTTGAAGGCAGTGATTTTGCGCACCTCGAGTCAGAAGCGAGGAACATCATTTCCAGTCTTCCTATATCTCCTGGTCTATTTGCACCAGAACTTTGCGGAGCATTCAGAGCACACTTCATCAGGCGGAGGTGGGCCATGACGCAGGGACCCTTACTCAGATTCAACTGTGTATAGACCGTCTTTGTGACCCTGACACTTGGCCTTTCCTGAAGAGCCTCTCGCGCCAGAAAGAAAGCATGCCAACACTCTTTGAGATCGAAAAGGAATTCGCGCAAACCTCTGTGAAGCCACCAGGCACTACGGTCCCTCGACCGCGCAGCAAAGAGCGCATCTTCCTTCATGTTTTCTCGGGGCGCAGATGTGAGGGAGATTTACAATTGTATATGGAGCAGCTTTTCGATCAGCTTTGTCCTGACGGCACCTCTCTTTGCGTTGTCTCGGTAGACTTGGTGATCAATCAGCAGTGGGGAAATGTCCGGCTCCAATCTACGCAAGAATTTTGGATCAAGGGCGTTCTCTCCGGATGGGTCTGCGGCGCCCTGTGCGGGCCACCTTGCGAAACGTGGTCGCAGGCCCGCTATGTGACTGCGTCCCACCAGCAGAATCGAGGTCCCAGACCCCTACGAGACAGTGAATGCTTGTGGGGGCTCAACTCCTTGAGCCTACGAGAAGCACATCAAGTCGCGACGGGCAATGATCTCTTGCTCTTCTCGATTGACTTGCTCTACGCGCTGGCGATCATGGACGGCTTTGGAGTCATGAAGCACCCCAAAGAACCTGAAGATCAGGAGAAACCTTCGATCTGGCGCTTGGAGATCCTACGACACCTGATGCAGTTCCCTGGAGTCGAGCTCATCGACTTTGCGCAAGGGCTCTTGGGTGCTCATACTCCTAAGCCCACAAGGTTGCTCGCCCTGAACCTGCCATTGCTACGAGCACGTCTGAGAGAGCACCAAGTTACATCGGAGCTGCCAAAACGCAGCGCCATTGGCAAAACTGCCGAAGGTGTGTGGCGTACTGCTCCGCTGAAGGAGTACCCACCTTCGATGAACCGCGCATTGGCTGCGGCTTTTTGCACCTGGTTTCACGATCATCCAGCCAGTACAGGGATGACTATTGATCCAGTTTTTGCAGACAGGTGCCGTGCGATGATATCACGCACTTTTGGCGCCGACATCGGGCCTGACTACGGGGGATAAAGTATCTCCAACGTGGAACGGCTGAATTCGCCGACGTGCCAGCAGCGACGAAAGTCCCAGTGAGCTGTGCAAAAAAAAAAATATTACTATGATATATTATGATATATTTATGCGTTAAAAAAATGAAAAACATTCTATATCAATAGCTTATGCGTATATATATACATTATATATATATATATATATATTATATTATATTATATTATATTATATGACTAGACTTGTGATAGATAGATGATGATATTCATATAATGATAAATACATGTCATGATGATCTATAGATATCTATAGATATCTATAGTGAATGGGCCTTTTTAGAACCAACTTCATAACATCCGAACACTGCAGAGACGGGCCCAGGATCTAGGGGCCCAGGCCCGGCCAAATCCACTCCTGGCTCCAAGGGATCTTCCACCTCAAAGAACAGCCATGGGATGTAGAAATTGCCGCGCATGACACATGAAACATTTTTGAATGCCTAATCATGCCATACGTTTGTCCAACTATTTTTAATGTCCAACTATTTAAAAATTTAAAAGCAATTATAAGAATAAATTAGAAACAGTCAAACAGTCAAAGCCTTTTATTTATCGTGAATCCCTGTTCCCCCCAATCTCAATTTGTGCGATTGGTTCAAATCATGGTCACCGGTGGGCGGCTTGAATAAACCCTTGAACAGGGTTTTGATGAATTTGTCTCCTTACTGTAGGAACCCCCTCATCCCTTAATTCATCTATCTACGCATCCATTTATATGCCTACCAGGTGTAATTGAGCAATGTTTTATACGCAAGCATAGTGGCGCTTCTACCAAGTTCTAGATAGACCAAACAGCACTGTATAACCTGAATTGTGGAAATTATTTGTTGCCTGTTGATCAGTTTCCATGATGTCTGCACCAATTGGCTTCCCGTACTGGCCCCGTCATTTTGGTGACTTTGATAGAGTGTTCGTGTCTTTTGGGATCGTTTGAAACTACCAAAAAATCGGAATTGACTTAGAATCTAAACAAATCCATGCATTATCATGGATTGTTGTTCATGTTATGTCTTCTGTAACTATATCATCTGCCAATTCTTGCAGCCATTGGATCCGCAGTTTTTACTCATCCCCAGGCCCCCAACCCATAGCAGTGGAGACGATTTGCTGCGCGAAACTGATCGCACGGACACAGCCTCCTGAGGTTTTATCAGAGACCATTGATGCACTGACATTTCAACCGGGCCGAGAAATTAGGATAATTAGGAAGCCCCCCCAAATCCCCTGGTTGCGTCAGTTTCCTCATTGAAATGACGTATATACTACTTTGGGGGTGTATCCACCATTTTCGGACACAACTATGGTCTGGAACAAAATTGCTCTGAATAATTTGAAGACATGCACAGCATGAAGTCATCTGAAATCTTTAGGGCAATGGCATATGGTCCTTGATTGTCGCACTGGGAAGTCTTAAGCAACTGCACGAAGTAAGCTCAAACATGTTCAAACCACCTTTCACCAGGCCATGCTTACAGCTCCTTGCGCCACTGGAAGCTAAAGCCATAAAACCTGGCGTTCAGATGTCAGCTGGCGTTGATACCTTTGGGTCACCTCTCAAAAAATGCCTCAGGTTTTTGCAATTTGCGTCTCACCAAGCTTGAGAGCACCACTTAAGAGCACAAAAACACATGGATTTATGATCTTTTCAACCTTCAAGCGACACCTTTGACATAAATCTTCAAGGTGTGTGATTTGGGACCCATGCCCCACCAGTGCCACCAACTGCCATCCACAGACTTGATTTTTTGGCATCGCTTCTAGTGTCGTCTTTAATGTCTTTGGTCAGAAACTTGTAGCATGTTGAAGGTGAGAAGCGACTGCTGCAGCACGATTCGTTGGAATCTGCAGCTGCAGGATTCATGATTGAGGCCAGTGTGCGGCGCAGGAAAGGGCAGATGTTTCCATCTGGATTGCGCAGAAAGCAACCCCAATTGAGAAGACAATGCAATGCAAGACTGGTGACTAATGATGACTGCATGCCTTCATCTTGCCTTGCAAATATATATATATAGCTTCCCCAGCAATCCCCAGCATCTATTTGTTTCTTGATGTTTCTTGCCTTTGTGCTGAAGAGGACACCCTGAGGTTTCAGCGCACTGGTTCACAATCTCTCATTGAATGTCCTGATTGATGTCCCCATGTTTGCTGATTACCCGCCATCTGCCAATGGACAATCGGACATGTTTCTCAAAAAAAAGGGAAACAACATCAAATTGCCAGGTTAAAATTACATACTGTAAATTACCAACCAACAAATCCAGGTTTATCCATTGATCTGTGGCAACTGGGTTCCTTTCCCGTTGCTGACCTGCACCTCTCCGTGGCCGGGTTCGCCGGGAACTGCCAGGTGGTCTCCCCAGCCGCTGGCGCTGAGGGACAAACATATAACACTGTATATGTTATAAATATAAATATATTATAAAATTATATGTAGAATAAATATAATTATATATATATATATTATATACAATTACGTATATTATATAGGATTATATATATATATTGTATAATTGTAATATATATATATATATATATAGTGAACAAGATCAAATGGAACATAGCTGTCCGCAAGAATTTGGACTGAAAAGGCAACCAACCGATCATGATGTGGATATATGGCACTGACATGGGCATGTATCCAACATAAAAGTTGATATAATGACAATCCTGGGCCTGGACCTGTAGATGTCCTTCAATACAAAATCAGCCTTGGACATACACTTGGTCAGAACATTCATGTGGAAAAATTAGCCCAACAAACATTTGTACTGGGCCCACATGTTGCGGAGATTTCTTCCCTAGGTTGCACCCAATGATTTTGCATCATGCATTTTTCCCATCAAAACGCTGCTATAAAACTCATTGCTCTTATTTTCTAATGAGGGTCTACAATGTTGTATTGATTTTGTGGTTTTGAGGGTACGGCCCTATGATTTGTGTATTCCAAATAGTGCACCAGCTACTGCAAGCATTTTCCAATAACAATCTGCCACCATTCATCCCCAAAACGGCACCTAGTTTCCTCTCAATTTTGCAACTTTGGGTCCTCCAGGAGGTCAGGCTAAATAAAATCAAGGCCAGGCCTCTTCCAAGTTTTTGATCTGTCCACCAAACTTCTATGCATATAAATATATATATATCCAATAAGACAATTATTATTGACCAGTATGTAAACGTGTATATTATTAGTATTTATTATTATTGAATATTATTTATTATTTACTATTTATTATCTACTATTTATTATTTCCTATTTATTATTTATTATTATTATTATCATTATTATTATTATATATATATGTATGTATTGTACACTTGTACATACTGGGCATACTGGGACCTGTGATGTACGTTTCCATCCGGTAGTGTGGCCCTCAGACTTTGTCGCAACGGTCGCGTGCCAACGGGTCGAACCGCAGCTGACCATTATTCCATCGCTGGATGGTGGCTTTTGCGCTGCCTATGGGATCTGAATCTACCCTCCTGAAACCATGGTTCTGAGCAAAATTACACATCAACTACAGGTCTTCTGAGAAATGATGTTGAAGCTGTGGTTGCTCTACATGGAACATCTCACCCATGTTCAGCATCACGTAATCGTGTGCTACCCGGAGTATTTCTATCTATTTCTGTGGCTTTTGAAAGCAAACAGCGGAAGCATGCGGAAGCAGGATGCTACAGGCAATGCATGAACCAGTCCTTTTTTGATCTGAACATGGTGAAAAACAGCTGGCGGTGGGCATCTTCAAAAACATGCCACCTAACATCGATGTTCCGACTTGTATATGGCCGAAAGATACATAGCTTTGCCATCCACATGGGGTATAGCATCCAAATGGCTCGAAATAGCAATTTTCATTAGGAATTAGGAACATAATGATTAGCCACCATTAACCACCTGGTTTAGGGGCAAACCAGTCCCATAACGATGTTCTCCATATATTCCATGTATTTCAAGAGGATCCGAAAGGTAGCGCCAGAAAGCCAACCGGTGCCCTGCGCTGAACAACATGCTGTGAGGCCGACAGCTGGGGGCATGTGTGCATCTTACACATGTCTTCGCATATGATTATTCAATATCATTCATGGATACATACATTTCATTCCATTGCATTGCATTCCATTGCATTGTTGCATTACATACATTGTATTGCATTATAGGCTATATGTACACACATTGTAAATAAATAATTATGTGTATATATATTATATATATAGTATGTGCCTATAATATAATCAAAGGAAGTTGGGAAGCAATTTCCGAGTTACGAATGACTTTTTACTTGGTGCAATTGACTATGATGAAGGGTGGTAGATCCTGTAACAATACATAATGTACCAATACATCACAAACCAATAAGAAGCAATGAAATTGACCTTGAGGAAGGGTGGTAGATCATATAACAATACATAATATAACAATACATAATGTACCAACACATAACAAAAGAATAAGAAGCTATGAAATTGACCTTGAGGAAGTGATGATGAAGGGGAGTGGTGACGAAGGGAAGTGGTGAGGAAGGGAAGTGGTGAAGAAGGGAAGTGGTGACGAAGGGAAGCGGTGAAGAAGGGAAGTGATGATGAAGGGAGTGGTGACGAAGGGAAGTGGTGAGGAAGGGAAGTGGTGAAGAAGGGAAGTGGTGACGAAGGGAAGTGGTGACGAAGGGAAGTGGTGACGAAGGGAAGTGGTGACGATGGGAAGTGGTGAGGAAGGGAAGTAGTGAGGAAGGGAAGCGGTGACGAAGGGAGGTGGTGACGATGGGAAGTGGTGACGATGGGAAGCGGTGACGATGGGAAGCGGTGAGGAAGGGAAGTGGTGAGTTGGGGAGGAAGCCGGAGCACGAAACCTTGTGTTTTTCCGTGTAAAGTGGCTGCAGCCGGCGATGAAAGGTACCTCGTGTGTGCGACGGGTGCGGCTGCGGTCGTTCCGGACGTGATTGGTTCCTTCTATGTGTTTTGCAACAAGTGGTTGTTCCTGTGGTGTAGTTCTATGCGTTTCCTGAAGCTGTGGTTGCAGATCGCATTGTAATGGCTGCATGAATGTTGCATGGGCTATGTTTTGGGGGAGGAAGCCGGAGCACGAAACCCTGTGTTTTTCCGTGTAAAGTGGCTGCAGGCGACGATGAAAGGTACCTCGTGTGTGCGACGGTTGCGGCTGCGGTCGGTTGATCGTTTTTTTTTGCCGCAGTGTCACGGTGGCTTCAAGCTGCTTTGGGTGTGGTTGTGTGTGCGTAGTTATAGGGTGTTTTGGAATCTGTGGTTGCAGATCGCATTGGAATGGCTGCATGATGTTGCATGGGCTATGTTTTGGGGAGGAAGCCGGAGCACGAAACCTTGTGTTTTTCCGTGTAAAGTGGCTGCAGGCGACGATGAAAGGTACCTCGTGTGTGCGACGGGTGCGGCTGGGGTCGGTTGGTCGTTTTTTTTTGCCGCAGTGTAACGGTGGCTTGAAGCTGCTTTGGGTGTGCTTGTGTGTGCGTAGTTATAGGGTGTTTTGGAATCTCCGGTTGCAGATCGCATTGGAATGGCTGCATGATGTTGCATGGGCTATGTTTTGGGGAGGAAGCCGGAGCACGAAACCTTGTGTTTTTCCGTGTAAAGTGGCTGCAGGCGACGATGAAAGGTACCTCGTGTGTGCGACGGTTGCGGCTGCGGTCGGTTTATCGTTTTTTTTTTGCCGCAGTGTCACGGTGGCTTCAAGCTGCTTTGGGTGTGCTTGTGTGTGCGTAGTTATAGTGTGTTTTGGAATCTCCGGTTGCAGATCGCATTGGAATGGCTGCATGATGTTGCATGGGCTATGTTTTGGGGAGGAAGCTGGAGCACGAAACCTTGTGTTTTTCCATGTAAAGTGGCTGCAGCCGGCGATGAAAGGTACATCGTCTGTGCGGCGGTTGCGGCTGCGGTCGGTTTGTCGTTTTTTTTGCCGCAGTGTAACGGTGGCTTGAAGCTGCTTTGGGTGTGGTTGTGTGTGCGTAGTTATAGGGTGTTTTGGAATCTCCGGTTGCAGATCGCATTGGAGTGGCTGCCTCAAGGTTGCTTGCCGCCTCGGCTGCATGCGTAATACTATTGTCTTTTGCAGCTGAAGATTTGTGAATCGTATTGGAGTGGCTGCATCCAGGTTGCGATAGTCATTTGTCAGCAGATTTTCGCAAATTTGGCGCTAGTAATTTTCCTTTTAAAATTCCTTGCAAAAAATGCGTCAAAATCGTCTTTTTTCTGCTTTGGCGTCGAGATCCGGTTTTGGAGTTGCGATTTCCGACGCCGTTGCGCTTAGTTCTATTGTGATTTGCAACTCAGTCTCTGCAGATCGCATTGGAGTGGCTGCCTCAAGGTTGCTTGCCGCCGCGGCTGCATGCGTAATACTATTGTCTTTTGCAGCTGAAGATTGTAAATCGTATTGGAGTGGCTGCATCCAGGCTGCGATAGTCATTTGTCAGCAGATTTTCCCAAATTTGGCGCTAATAATTATCCTTTTAAAATTCCTTTTAAAAAATGCTTCAAAATCG